GTTTTCTGACTCAGAGGAACAGAGTTTACTTTCATGAGAACAACAGAGAGTCATTGTGTGTGTGTGTTTGTGTGTGTGATGACAGAGAGAGCGACACAGAGAGACAGAGATACAGAGACAGAGAGAGGGAGGCAGAAGACGTAACATATCCTGTGTAGTGTGACATATCCGCAGATTCGGACCTGGACACTTTGGAGGCCGACATCCCGCAGGATTGCTTCAGAGCCTAGTCTGGTTCAGGCACGGCATGCTGAGGCTTTGGTTCATTCTTCTTGCTGGTGGGAAATTAGAGTTCAATGTGCTCGTCCAAACACCTACAGCTAGTCTCTCTTTGGTTCTCCCCATTCCTGTCCATCTCCCCCCCCCCCCCCGGCTGGCCTAGGTCCTGCCACCACCCCCTGCCAGTCTTCTTCACCCCTCCCCACATCCTTGTAAACAGCTCCCTTGTCAGGCCTTGACACAGCTCCAGTCTCCCATCTGTTCTCAGCTATGACCTTGACCAATCTAGCGTGTGTGCATGATAGAAGACTGTACCCCAGAACATACACAGAATTCTTAACGCTCAGTTAGATTAAAAATGCGCCAAAGACCTCAACAGACACCTCACCAAAGAAGATATACAGATGGCAAATAGGCCTAAAAAGTTGCTCCACATCATGTGTCATCAGGGAAATGCAAGTGAAAACAAACATGAGCCACCATCAGACACCTACTAGAAAGGCCAAAATCTGGGACACCGACAGCACCAAGTGCTGGAGAGGATGTGGAGCAACAGGAACGCTCATTCGTTGCTGGTGGGAAATGCACAATGGTGCAGCCACTTTGGAAGACAGTTTGGTGGTTTCTTACAAAAGTAAACATACTCCTACCATACAAGCCAGCAACTGTGCTCCTTGGCATTTATCCAAAGGAGCTGAAAATTTGTGTCCACACAAAAGCCCTCACAGAGAGGTTTATAGAAGCTTTATTTGTAGTTGCAAAACTTAGAAGCAACCAAGATGACCTTCAGTAGGTGAGTGGATAAACTGTGGTACATCCAGACACTGGAATATTATGCAGCACTAAAAAAACTGAGCTCTCAAGTCATGAAAAGACATGGAGGGAGGGAGAGGTGACAGGCTGAGGACAGAGGACATTCATGGCAGTGAAACTCCTCTGTATGATTCCAGTGGTGGATACATGTCATTAGACATTTGTCAAAACCATAGAATGTGAAATACCAGGAGTGAACCTTGATGTAACTTGTGGACTTTGAGTGATAATGATCTGTCAGTACAGGTTCACAGATTGTAAAAAATGTACCCCCTGGTGTGGGATTTTGATAGTGGGGAAGGTTGTACATGTGTGGGAACAGGGACTCTATGGAAACTATTTTCAGCTCAATTTTGCTGTGAACCTAAACCGCTCTAAAAAATTGTTTATTAATTTTAAAAAAGCGGATGTGACTTTTTCACATGCTGTGTCACCCCCACTGTGTGAGGTACTATTGGAGCTAAAGATGAGTAAGGCCTGGACCCTGTGCCTATAATGGTTGACATAATGAGACATAAACTCACAGGTAACTCACCTGCCCCAGCACACGCTAAGTGTCGGATAAGGGGAGTGGATGGTGAGGATTCTGAGCTCCACCTCTTCCTGGCCAGGGGAGCCCCTCTGAGTCTGTTTCATCTGGGAAATGACAACATCTAACCTTGGGACTTCGAGATGATATGTGTGAGAAAAGCACTTGGCTCATGGAAGAAATGTCAGTCCCAACCTCGCATCCTTTTTCTCGAAGGTCAAAGCATGGAAACATCCTTATGGAGTGGAGAGATCAGGGAAGGCTCCATGGAGGAAGAATTCAGTTTGACCTGGGCCTAGAAAGTGGACACTTTTGGAAAGGCGTTCCAGGAAGGGGTCATGGCATGAGCTAAGGTTTAGAAATGGGAACATCCAAGGTGCTCTTGTGGGGCCTCGCAGGAGACTCCCAGACCCTGGGCCTGGCCGTCTGGGAGAAAGGAGTGCCCTGTGGGTTCTTGCAGCCAAGAGCATGCAGGAGCAGTGTTTCAGGGGAAATCCAGCATGGTCCTGGCCGTGGTCCCTTGGGGCAGCGAGGGAGTCCTCAGAAACTCCAGTGGAGGACAAGTTGGAGAGTGTGGCCAACAGAAGTACAAAATAAAACAGAGCCTCCACTTCTTTGCCTGTAAAATGGAGCTATGAATACCCACCTCAAAGTTACTGTGAGGATTAATAGTTGTTACATCTTTTTGAGGTTCCGATACGCACCAGGCATTGTGTCAAGGGCTCTCCGTGCCTGGCCTCAGTATCCCCACAACAGCCCTATGATGGAGAGACTATTTTTATCCCTGTGTTTCCCAGATAAGGAAACAAAGGTTCTTAAAGGCCTGAGTCAGAACAGCTTCCAGGGGCCGAGTCAGCCCCAGGGCCCAGGTCTGTGTGACTCAGATGACGAGGCTCAGTCATCACATGGAGCTTCCGGGAGCCAAGTCAACACTCACGTCCCCATCTCTAGGCATGCCAGTCCAGCCAGTGTTGGCTGTCAGCGGCCTGACGTAGCAGCAGGACACACATCAGCCTGACCTCCCTGCCAGCCGGGTTGAGAAACCCGCCTGGGCCCAGAGCCCCGAGGACCACGCCTCTCCCGCCTTGTTCATCCCGAGGCTCCACGTGATAGCGCCTCAGGATGGATGCAGTGACGCCGGTGTGCTGTGTGCAGGGTGACTGCTCCTGTGTGACTCTGTGCATCTAGGCTAAATGTTCACCGTGACCAGGTATAATTACAGTCTTATCCCTCATCGGTCATGAGGTTCTCAAAATATCCCGACAGGATGAATTAAAACTAGTAAGAGTGGTGGGGACCCAGCTCAGTATAGGTGTCTTAAAGTGTTATCTTCTCACTTCCGCTGAGGACATGTGGGAGCCATTCCAGGGGTGGGCTGGTGGGGGTCTCCCTACTTTTTCTGCTCTTCCCCAGTGGAAGGAAGGCCAGCGGTACAGTGTGGCCAGGACCATGGTGACCTGGGAATGCGGAAGCCGGGGGCTGAAGACCTCCCTGCTCCTTACTAGGTGCAGCGCCAGGGCAGCCACCGGCCCCAGCCTACAAAGGGAGGTCATTATACCCATCGTGTTAGATAGGACACGCCAGGCACCTTTCATGTGTTCGCCCACGCCGCTCTCAGCACAGCTCCGGATGGATTCCTGGTCAGGGTCCCCTCCGGAGGGAAGGAGGAAGAGTGAAGCGAGTGGGGTGGGAGAAGGCCTGGCTGGGGAGGAGGTGAAGGACCAGAAAAGGTGCAGAGTTGAGAGACCTCAGGAGGTGGTTGGCCTTAGCGTCACAGGCTGTAGGGACAGCAGCTCTGGGGGACACGCGGGGCGAGGGGTCCCTCTGTGCTAAGAGTCGGGGAAGTTCTCTCCCTCAGTCCCTGTCAAACTGGATCGGAGCCTCTGCATGCATGCCTGCAGTGTGCCCTGGACCCCCTCCCCTCCCCTCCC